TATCCAGTGATGTGAGCGGGGTGTTGAAGTCCCCTGCTATGATTGTATTGCTATCGATTTCTCCTTTGAAGTCCTCCAAAAGTTTTGAAAAATATTTTGGTGCTCCTATATTGGGTGCATATATGTTTATCAAGGTTATATCTTCCTGTTGGATAGATCCTTTCAATATTATGTACTGGCCTTCTTTGTCTCTAGTATGGCCTTCAATCTGAAGTCTATTTTATCAGATATAAGTATTGCTACCCCAGCTTTTTTTTCTTTTCCATTTGCTTGAAAGATTTTTTTCCATCCCTTCACTTTCAATCTATGTGAGTTGTTTGTTGTGAGGTGGGTCTCTTGGAAACAACATATAGATGAGTCATGCTTTCTTATCAAATCAGCTACTTTGTGTCTTTTTATGGGAGCATTCAGTCCATTTACATTTAAGGTGGTTATTGATATGTACTTATTTATTGCCATTTTTGTTTAGTGTGGTTATATTTTCTTCCTATTTCTTCTACTAATTACAGCAGTCCTTTTAGCATATCTTGTAGTGCTGGTTTGGTGTTAATATATTCCCTTAGCCTTTTTTCTTTTCTTTTTTTTTTGTATGGAAAGCTCTTTATTTGATCTTCTATTTTGAATGGTAGCCTTGCTGGGTAGAGTAGTCTTGGATTCAGATCCTTGTTTTTCATGACCTTGATTACTTCATGCCATTTCCTTCTAGCCTGTAGTGTTTCTTGTGAAAAGTTAGCTGAGAGCCTTATGGGGTTTCCTTTGTAGGTAACCTGTTGCTTATCTCTTGCTGCTTTTAGGATTCTCTCTTTGTCTTTAATTTGTGGCAGTTTGATTACTATGTGTCTTGGTGTGGGCCTGTTTGGGTTCTTCTTACTTGGGGCTCTCTGAGCTTCTTGAACTTGAATGCCTTCTTCCTTCACCAAATTGGGGAAGTTTTCTGTCACTATTTCTCTGAATATATTCTCTAGCCCTCGCTTACTTTCTTTTTCTTCAGGGACTCCTATGATACGAATATTTTTCCGTTTCCAGTTGTCCCACAGTTCTCTTAAGCTCTCTTCCTGTTTTTTCCTTTTGTTTTTCTGATTGGTTGATTTCTTCTAGCCTGTCTTCTAATTCACTGATCCGGTCCTCAGCTTCCCCTACTCTGCTTTTTAGACTTTCCAGTGTGTTTTTCATTTCTGATATGTCATTCTTCATTTCTTCCTGTTGGTTTTTCATTTCCAGCTGGTTTATTTTCAACATTTCTATGTCTTTACTCATGTTGCTCATGTCCTTACACATGCTGTTGAGCTTCCGCAACATCATGGCTCTAAATTCTACTTCTGTTAACTTGCTTAACTGCACCTCATTTATTTCATCTTCTGTGGAGGTCTCTTGTTCTTTCATTTGGCTTTTGTTTCTGTTTCTCACCATTTTGGTTATCACAGTGGGCTTTGGAGTCTGCCAAGTTTTCCCAGTGGGTGTTGGTGTTCTGCTGTTTGTGGCTCCCTCTCCTGGTTTTGGATGCACCAGGGAGGACCCACTTTAATCCCACCAAGTCCCCTGTTCTCCGGGAATCTGTGTGGCTCCAGCCAAGAGCTTAGCAGGCTACAGCGTTCCCAGGGCCCATGCAGGGTGGCAAGGGAGGCGGTGGGAGTAATTTCTCGCTGAGTTCCCTGGTCCCGCCGAGTCCCCTGGTGCCCGCGAGTCTGTGGGCCTCAGCCGAGACTTTAGCAGGCTACAGAGTTCCCAGGGCCCATGCAGGGTGGCAAGGGAGGCGGTAGGATTAATTTCCCACAGAGTTCCCTGGTCCCGCCAAGTCCCCTGGTCTTTGGGAGACTGTGCGGCTCCAGCCGAGAGCTTAGCAGGCTACAGAGTTCTCAGGGCCCTGCAGAGTCGCAAGGGAGACGGTAGGATTAACTTCCCGCTGAGTTCCCTCGTCCTGCCGAGTTCCCTAAGGCCTGCGAGTCTGTGCGGGTCCAGCGGAGAGTTTATCAGGCTACAGAGTTCCCATGGCCCATGCAGGGTGGCAAGGGAGGCGGTAGGATTAACTTCTCGCTGAGTTCCCTGGTCCCGCCGAGTTCCCTGGTCTCCGCGAGTCTGTGCAGCTCCAGCGGAGAGTTTAGCAGGCTGCAGAGTTCTCAGGGCCCATGCAGGGTGGCAAGGGAGACAGTAGGAGTAACTTCCAGCCAAGTTCCCTGGCCCCCGCCGGGTCCCCTGGTCTTTGGTAGACTGTGCGGCTCCAGCCGAGAGCTTAGCAGGCTACAGAGTTCCCAGGGCCCATGCACGGTCGCAAGGGAGACGGTAGGATTAACTTCCCGCCGAGTTCCCTGGTCCCGCCGAGTCCCCTGGTCTCTGCGAGTCTGTGTGGCTCCAGCCGAGAGTTTAGCCGGCTACAGAGTTATCAGGGCCCATGCAGGGTGGCAAGGGAGACTGTAGGATTAACTTCCTGCCGAGTTCCCTGGTCCCGCCGAGTTCCCTGGGGCCCCCGAATCTGTGCGGCTCCAGCGGAGAGTTTAGCCGGCTACAGAGTTCCCAGGGTCCTTGCAGGGTGGAAAGGGAGGCGGTAGCAGTAACTTCCAGCTGAGTTCCCTGGCCCCTGCCCAGGCCACTGCGGACCCTGGGCTCTCGGTCCCCTCTCGCGTCCTCGCAAGCCTACCAGGATTGAGTGGGTGTTTCTGGTTAAGTGGTCCTCCAAGATGTCTTTGGCTGCCCTTTCCTGACAATTTGCCTTTATTTTCCTTGTAAATCCAGTTTGGTCTTGGGAGATGGTCTGTGTCGCTCCATTCACTTCGCCGCCATTTTCTCCTGTAATCTTTTTTTCATTATTAATTCAGCCAAGGGGATGGGAAAAAGGTAGGGGTTCGAGGTTGACTGATGGCCACATACATCTCAGCACCAGCAGGGGTCTGAGGAAGATTGTGAAACTTATTTGTTCATAGTCTGTTGACTCTAGTTGATATGAGTCCAGTCATGAGGTTCCTGCCAAACTTTGATAAACAATCATTATTTTTGTACATACATACTTCCCTTATCTCCTCAGGAGAGGCAGTTCTGGTAAGGAGAGGTTTTTGTAAAACTCAAGATGTAAGCAGAATTCCTCCTGATGATTAGCATGTAAGGCCATGGGACTAAAGCAGGCTTGAACAAGATGGAGTTAGAGAAGGTGAGCTTTTCTCTCTGTTACAATAATGCCCAACTTTCCTAATCTATAAACGGGACAACAGTATTTACTGTATTAAATTGATGTGAGGTTATTAAGGAGTTTACACATGTAAAATGCTCAGAACATGGCACAGTAAGTGCTCAACAGATCTTAGTTCTCATTATTATATGCTTCTACAGCACTATGTACTTCTTTTGCAGGACTTTCTGGGGCTGGAACTTGCTACTTATTGGTGTAGTGATTATTAACCATCTCCACAGTAGACACTTGAGATAGCAATGATGAGCACTTTGCCCACAAGAGCATCCCTAGTACCTAGTCTGGGCTTAGCATTGTAGGTGTGCTGGATATTCTCCACTTGTCCTTAGAGATCCACTCTCTACCCTCATCTGATTCTGTGCCCCAGAAGACTGAGATGTCTATGAATCATCCATAAATGACACCCCTAACCATTTTACTTTTGGTTGGGTTTGATTGTTGAAAGACACTGGCAGGAGGTAAAAGGGTGGGCAGATAATAAGGTTGAGGTATTTGTTCTCATGGCTCTCTCGCTGCCAGGCCACAGCTGGTAGAGGTTATATTTCTTAACTAGAGACCCGCTCTCAGGCACCCACTCCTAACCTCTTTCTAGTTCAAATGAACGCCTGGTGGCAGCAGGTCCCCACTGTTCCTGGGGGCTTCACCACTCACTGTTCTAATGCAACTGTCAATGTCTCCTCCTTAAACCCTACCCATTACTCCTATTAGCTGCCATATCTTTCCTTCTGGGACACTACTTATATAACAGATTCTTTGTCAATATGTGTTGAATGATTTTTTTTTTTACCATATGAAGCATGAAAATACACGGAAACCTCATTTAAAATAGAGTTGGGAAGGTAGAAGAGAGGACTATATTCCAAGTCACTCAATGCATATTACTGACACCAACAGAGAGATAGATACCTTGCAACTCTGACAGTGATACTACTTGACTACCTCAGCAGGAGGAAGACTCCCTTCTTGCCCACTAACAGCTCAGCCAATAGGAAACTGCCATAAGTCAGCCAATAAAAATTCACTATACTTTGAACTTCTGAGTTTCTTCCAATAGACTCTTCACTTATAACAGCTTTCCCATACCCATAAAAGTATTCCTTTTCTTTGTTTCCCTGGGCTTGCACATGGTCACCATTAGACTGCATGTACCAAATTGTAATTCGTTGTTCCCAAAAAACACGTTGCTGGAGAAATACCTCACTGTCTTCTTAAGGTCAACAGGAGGTAATAATTCTTAGTCCAAATCATGGCTAAAGTTATGAACTAATAAGAAATATATATTATTTTTTATTTTATTTTTTTAAAGATAGAATTCTAGAGCAGTGGTTCTGGATAGAGTGAATCAGAACCAAGTTGAGGGCTGATCAAACCCCAGACTGTTGGGCTCGGCCCCAAGACATTCTGATTTGTCAAGCCTGGGGGAAGGGAAGATAAATAATTTGCATTTCTAACAAGTTCTCTGGTGATGTTGATGCTTCTAAGCTGGAGACTCCAGTATGACAAACATTTCACTGGAGAAATGCCAGCTGTTTTTGTTACTTATAGACCCCAAGTCTCATGGTTGCATTAATATCTTTGAAAACACAAAAGCCAGCTCGGCCAATGTGGCTCAGTGGTTGAGCATCAACCCATGCACCAAGAGGTGACTGGTTTGATTCCCAGCCAGGGCACATGCCCAGGTTGTGGGCCTGATCCCCAGTGAGAGGCATGCAGGAGGCGGCCAATCAATGTTCTCTCTCATCAATGTTTCTATCTCTCTCTCTAAAAATCAATAAAGAAAAAATTTTAAAAATAAAGACACAAAATGCCAAATGTAATATATTCTATATTTTACTTTACTCTGATGAGAGGTTTTTACTAAAAAAAGAGAGAGAGAGAGAGAAAAGGAAAGAAAACAAGGCAAAAGCAGATGGGGGTGTGTGTAAGGCCTCATCCTAAGAAAGGCTGTACACATTTGCTTTGCACATCAACACAATGGCTCATGGAGCTGGACCTAGTGAATATATCAGTTAAGCCAGGGCTCAGGGAGTACTGAGGCTTGGGCATACAACGGATCCCCTTCCTGCTCTACCCCAATCCACACTGCATTGGATTGAAAGAGGGCCAAAACATCCCCAAAGTGCACTGACACACCTCCTCCTTCAAATCTTCAGGCCTGAGCACCCTGCTTTCCACTCATACATGCAATCATTCACACACTCATCCAGCATGTGGGCACATACAGTCACATTCACACACTCAGTGCTTCTGATTTTAGGCTCCATCATGGATTCAGGTTCCAATACCAGGGTCAAGGTGTGTGTGAATCTCCTTAGCAGAATGACAAAGGGTCACTGGAGAGGCAGGGAGACCTAAGGACCCAGCTAGGGAGGAACTGCATTCTGTACCTCACTCGGGTGAAGGAACATTCTACTGACTAACTGGAGCTGCCTGGTCTCAGTAGGGAGGTCCAGATGCTGGTTCTGAAATGCCATCCAGCTCTGCTTCTCTCAATAACCAGCTGATAAGAAAGCACAGTGCTAGGAGGCCAGTCCCTAGGAGGTCCCCTAGCCCTGTGAGGTAGGGGATACAGTGATTGTCAGGATCCAGGGCCTGGTGCCATATCAGCCGAACCATCACTTCTGCCAAGTACAGCAGGATTGTCACCTGTCATAAAAGCAAGCAGACACAAAAGACAATGACCAAGTCAGAAAGCCAAGTGTTATCAAGAAACACTAGCAGATTTCAAGGGCAGACACCAAGGTGGACATGTCAATCCCAGTCCCCTTCCACAAGCTTCACTTGGGGGCTGAAGCCCAGCATGAGCTCATGCAGAGGCCAAAGAGTCCACCTTCTTCCACACTTGCCTAGCATCCCTCCCTGTGGTTGATCCCTGCTCCTGGCATCCTAAAGTGCCAGACAGACTTGCTGCTGCTCACTAGCCTTGACCTTCTCTGATGCACCAGCTCAACTCAATATCCTTGGGAATTTGAATATGAATCTTGCTGGGACTTCAGCTTGGGTTTTCTGGAGGCCCTCTCATGGGTAGCTTTGGATGGCTGGCTTTCCCTGAAGGTGCCATACAGCATTCTATACAGCCCTGGTCAGGTCTCAGGGCTTCTCAGTCCCTTGTTGCAGGATGACCCCAGCTCCTTTCCTGCTGTTTCTCAGGGCAGTTTCTCAGACTTCCCCAGCCTATCTGTCAGGGTCAGGGACATGTTGTGATTGCAAATGCCATATCTTAAGGAGATTTTAAAATGCTGGTCCCTGCCCAGCCAGTGTGGATCAGTGGTTGAGCATTATCCCATACACCAAGAGGTTGCCAGTTCAATTCCCAGTCAGGGGACATGCCCAAGTGGTGGGCCAAATCCCCAGTGTGGGGCATGCAGGAGTGGCCAATCAATGTTCTCTCTCACTGATGTTTCTATCTCTTTCTCCCTTTCCCTTCATCTCTCTCTAAAATCAACAAAGAAAAAAAAACTAAAAAAAACCTAAATGCTGGTCCCTTAGAATTGCCCACAAGTACCCACAGTAATCCTTGCAGAGGCGCCAGGCCCACCAGTACTTCAGCCAGCTATAGTCTTGGCGGATAGTCTGTTTTGTACTATCCTGGGGCAGGCAACCACCAGCTTAATCTATCTCATGTCCATATCACCATCCCACTCTGACTAAAGTCCACCCATGCCTTTTAGCAACACTCTAGCAGGGGTCTGGTCTCCGCACACCAACCCTGCCTGTAATGAGTTATGCAGATGGCTCAGTTCATCAGCTTGTTTCATGACAACATGCTGCATTTTCAGGACAGCTCCTCTGATCCTCTGGTGAAGAGTAAGGAGTGAGCCGTATGCCTTGTGACTGTACCTTGTGAAAGGTGGAGTAATGAGTGTGCTGTGTGGATTGTGGCCAGTGCATTGTGCAACATGGGGTATGCTATGTGGAGAGTGCAGAATGGAGTGTCCAGTAAGGAGTGGAAAGTGCTGCTGGGTCTGTATCATGTCCTTAGGCTTCAACAAGTTAAATCCTGGAAGATGGGGACTGTGCCCTGCATATCCAGGAACCCCTAATTCCACCTCCTCGGCATCTCTCCCAAGACAGTGAACAAGGTTTGCTGGCTGCCTAACCATTGAATAAATGCTGCTTTGCTACTGTTACAGTTGTCCTTACCTGGATCAGGCCTGCTAGCAGATAGAATACCACAAAGGTCTTGCCATTTGGAACTGAACGGCCCTCCACCAGATAGATAACAGAGAAGAAAATCAGATGGCTTGGAATCACCAAACAGAGTAGAACTCGAGCTGATATGGAATTAATTTCTGGAAGAAATAGAACCAAAGAGGTTGTGTGACCTGCCTGGCAGCAGAAGCCACTTTGGCATGTGACAGTCTCTAGTGAGGCATCCACATTAATTCCACTACTTCCTGAAGGTGCCAAAGGGTAGTTCATACAGGCCTGGTTGACTATGTGGTAGGCATTCTTCAGCAGAAGGGGAATATAATCCTGTCCCTTCATTCATGGAGCTGACATTTTAGGGAAGAGAGAAAAACTGGAATCAAGTAGCAAAAACAAATAAGAAAGGTCATTTCAAATTGTGACAAGTAGTAGGAAGAAAATAAGCCAGGGTAATATGGTAGAGAATGAAGTGTTTATTAGTGAAAATTAGCTACTGGAGATTGGAAGCTCTCTCACGGAGATAACATTTAAGCTGAGATCTGAATCTGGGGGGAAAGATTCTGGCTAGAGGACAGAAAATATACAAGGGGCTTAAGGTGTAAAGAGCTCAGGAGTCAAGAAACAAAGGCTGAGTGTGCAGTGTTAGTGACTGGGGAGGGTGGTGCACTCGTGGGGCCTTCAGCACACTGGTGAGTTTCTTCAAGATCCATTGCTCTATGAGTGATTTACCCTGCCCATCTCTTTAAAACTATAATGTGAATATGATGGACTTCTCAAACACAAAGAGTATTAATGAAAAGTAAGTCTCCATTTGCATATGACTTAATATAATGTATTTTACCAACTTAATAAAGAAAAAGAAATATCACATGTAGCTTAGAAAATGAAAAGCCTACTATAAAATAACAGGTAGAGAGAGAATAGAAACATACAAAAGCAACAAAACCTATTCATGATAAAAAATTAGACAAGGTTAGATTATTTTTTAAAAAACTTAAAAAGGAGAAGGCAAAGTAATTATTACTGAAAGGTGACATAAAAACTCAAGAAAATTTATAAAACTTCTGGTCAAGATGGCGACGTGGATAAACGCAATACTCACCTGCTCCCACAACCACATCAAAATTATAACTAAATTACAGAACAACCACCATTCAGAACCACCTGAAATAAATCTGAATGGAAGTCCTACAATTATGAAATTAACAAAGCCACATGGAGACTGGTAGGATGGGCAGAGGTGCCAACTGGCTGGTCCCACACCCATGTGTGAAGGATAAAAATCAGGAGGGACACCTTAGCTACCTGAGGAGTAAGGGGTCCCCGTCCCACACCAGGCCCCCAAGCTCAGGGTTCCAGGGCCAGGAACAGAAGTCCCCATCACTTCTGGTTGTAAAACCAGGGGGAACTGAGGCTGAGGGAGGCTGAGGCTGCTAGAGCCCCAGGTAGCTCCTCTTAAAGGGCCCATGCACTGCTTACTTGAACTCACATCCTCCAGGCTCCACTGTGGGGGAGGTAGCTGGAAAAGCACCAGCGACAGAAAAGGAAGAACTGAGTTGTTTGGCACTGGGGCAAGAGCTGGAGGGGCAGCTTTCTCTTGGACAGACTTGCTGTCAGAGGCCATTAATCCTTTGGTGAGCCCTTCCTCGGAGGAGAAGACAGCTGTCATATCCGGACTCCAGCAACCTAGCTCACACTGTTTGCCCCACCCTGGTGATTCCCCGAGGCCCTGCCCCATCCAACTTTTGGGCTCACCCAAGCTGTTCCCAATGGCTTTACCATATGATTGGCCTGACTTGGATCATGCTTCAGATTTTCCTAAAATCTCTCAAGCAAGCAGCACCTGGTCTCTGAAAGCCCCATACTTCTTGTTAAGTGGCTCCAGGCCTGGAAATAAAAGCAGCCAGCCTTGGTTCATAACTTGGCTTTTCCTGGGCACCTCCAAGCCCAGCGTAAGAAGCAGCCATCGGCAGATTACTTTGTAGCTTATGCCGGGTAGAACACAGGCAGTGACTGACTTTGCCCAGTACCAGCACATCCAGTGGACAGCTTCAGACCACATCAAAACACCATCACCCAAACACCTCCACAAATGACACACTCAATGAGTGGACTCAGTGGGTACCAGAGGCCTGGTGAAGTAAGTCTTACACTGTGTGGTGGGCCCCGACATAGCTGATCCTACAAGGTAGTCAGAGGCCAGTGGTCAGTAGGCACAGCCATTCCTTGCAGCTGATCGGCCTGAACAAATACCTCCCATTGATGTGCCAACAGCAATCAAGACTCAATTACAACAGAAGGGTGTATAGTCCACACTAGGGGTGCACCTTGAGGGCCTAGCTGGTGTGATCAGGGAGGCTATGCCACTGGATCCTATAGGACACCTATAACAATAGGCCACCCTATGAAGCCTAGGAGACAAGTAACTCTACCTAATACAATCACAGGAAAACAGCCAAAATGAGGAGACAAAGAAACATGTCCCAAATGAAAGAAAAGAACAAAACTCCAGAAAAAGAACTAAACAAAATGGAGATAAGCAATCAATCAGATGCAGAATTCAAAACACTGGTTATAAGAATGCTCAAGGAACTTAGTGATAACATCAACATAAAAAAAGACCAGGCAGAAATGAAGGATGCACTAACTGAACTAAAGAATAATTTACAGAGAATCAATAGCAAAGTAGGGAAAGGCAAGAAGCAAACCATTGATTTGGAATGTAAGGAAGCAAAAAACAACCAATTAGAACAGCAAAAAAAAAAAAAAAAGAAGAATAAAAAAAAAAATGAGGACAGTGTAAGGAGCTTTGGGTACAACTTCAAGTGTGCCAACATTCACATCATGGGGGTGCCAGAAGAAGAGAAAGGGCAAGAAACTGAAAACCTATTGGAAAAAATAATGACAGAAAACTTCCCCAACTTGGTGATGGAAGCAGATAAGTCCAGGAAGCACAGAGTCCCAAAAAAGATGAACCCAAAGAGGTCCACGCCAAGACACATCATCATCAAAATGCAAAAGGTTAAAGACAAACAGAATCTTAAAAGCAGCAAAAGAAAAGCAGTTTGTTACCTGCAAAGGAGCTTCCATAAGACTGTCAGCTGATTTCTCAAAAGAAACTTTGTAGGCCAGAAAGGAGTGGCAAGAGATATCCAAAGTAATGAAAAGCAACAACTTACAACCAAGTTTACTCTGTACTGCAAAGATATCATTTAGAATCGATGGACGTATAAAGTTTCCCAGACAAGAAAAAGCTAAAGGAGATCATCACCATCAAACCAGTATTATATGAAATGTTGAAGGGACTTCTTGAAGGAGAAAAACAAAAATATGAACAATAAAATGGCAATTAATAGATATCTATCAACAATCGAACCTACAAACAAAATGAGCAAGCAGAATAGAATCAGACTCATAAAGATAACTTTTTGTTGTTTACCAGATTGGGGGGGGGGGGCAGTGTCGGGAGGGATGGCTGAAAAAGATGAAGGAATTAAGAAGTACAAACTGGTTGTTAGACTGATGAACATCAAAGGGAAGGGAGGAGGGAGGGTGAAAAGAGATAAACCAAAGAACTTTTCTATGCGTATATGCATAACCAATGGACACAAACAATAGTGTGGGGAAGGCAAGAGGTGGACAGGATTGGGGAGGAGGGGGGTCAATGGGGTAAAAAAGGGGGGACACTTGTAATACATTCAACAACAAGGATAAGTTAAAAAATTTAAAAATTGAAAAAAAATTATAGGAAGCTACAGAAAGAATTCAGTAAAATATTTTATGTGCTGCTATAAACTGCTTTCCCCCCAAATCGATGTTGTAACTTAACCCACAATATAATGATATTTGGAGGTGCGGACTTTGAGAAGTGATTAGGTAATGAGGGTGGTATCCTCTCTTCATGAATAGGATTTTTGCCCATATAAAAGAGAACTCAGAGAGCTCTCTCACCCCTTCCATCCACATGAGGACACAGTGGGATGATAGCTGTTTATATACCAGGAAGCAAGACTCACAAGACATGGATCCTCTAGTGCTTTGATCTTAGACTTCCAGCTACCAGAACTATCAAAACTAAATTTCTGTTGTTTATATGCCACCCAGTCTATGTTTTTATTATAACAGCTTAAATTAAGACAGGTACATAAATTATATAGAAAGTAAATAGTTTTGCCATGTACAAATAAGTCAGAAAATGGGGACTTCTGCTTATAGACAAGATGGGGTAAACATACTTACTATTCCTCTCACTAAATACACACACACAAAAACCCTGGACATTATATATAAAACAAACATAAGAAGATTTTTTTTTTCTATTTTATTTTTGTCACAGATATTTCTCTTTTTTTTTTTTTATCTCATTGACACCCTCCTCCCCATCCCCCCGCCACATCCCTGGATTTGTTCTCCATGCCCATTGGTTATGCATACATGCATATAAGTTCTGTGGTTTATCTCTTCCCTCCCCCCACCACCCCCTCTTCTAAGGATTGTCAGTCTGTCCATGTTTCTGGGACTACCCTACTCTACATACTGTTATGTTCATTATATTCCACAAATAAGTGGGATCATATGATACTTGTCTTTTTCTGCTTGGCTTGTTTCACTTAGGATAATACTTTCCAGGTCCTTCCATATCCTCTCAAAGGATAAGAGATCTTTCTTTCTTACCGCTGCATAGTACTCCATTGTGTATATGTACCACTGCTTTTTTATCCATTTGTCTACTGATGGACACTTGGGCTGTTTCTAGATCTTAGCTATTGAAAATACTGCTGCTATGAACATGGGGATACATATATTTTTTCTGATTGGTGTTTCAGGCTTCTTAGCATATGTTCCTAGAAGTGGGAACACTGGGTCAAATGGAAGTTCAAGATTTAATTGTTTGAGGTAACATCATAGTGTTTTCCATAGTGGCTGCACCAGTCTGCATTCCCACCAGTAGTGTACTAGAGAACCTTTTCTCCACAACCCCGCCAACACTTGTTGTTTGAAGATTTGTTGATGGTGACCATTCTGACAGGTGTGAGGTGATACCTCATTGTTGTTTTAATTTGCATCTCTGTGATGATTAGTGATGTTGAGCATTTCTTCATATGTCTCTTGGTCATTTGTATGTCCTGTTTGGAGAGGTGTC